ACTCTCTCTCTCTCTCTCTCTCTCTCTCTCTCTCTCTCTCTCTCCACCCCGCAGCGTGTGTGTTAAAAGGAAATAAAAACAACCCAAAATTGCAGAGCATGGAGCATGCACCAATGATGAGAAAAATACAAGAATGGTTACAAGGTCTAGGCAATTTTATGCCGAAAATATGAGAAAATAACTAAGCATCATGAGATTTTGGAAAGAAATTAATTTATTTCTCTTTGCTGTAATATCTCATTAGACAGTCACAAGTATATCATAAAGGGACCAAATCATTTTCATGTGTGTTTTTGTGTGTGCCTCTATGTGTGTGTGTGTGTGTCTGTGTGTGTGTGTGTGTGTGTGTGAGAGAGAGAGAGAGATACCTTTCTTCCTGAAAAAAGCTTTGTTGGTGGGAGATTTAGCTTCTCATTCAAGTATTTCTCAAACAATTCCTTGCTGCTTCTCCACAACTTTGAATCACAAGGTTTAAGACCAAAAGACTCAACCCCAAGTGCATCTATACTTCTACAAAACTCCTCGAATGTGTAACCAACATCAGTGGACGAATGAAAACTACCCTCCTGACAACAGCTTGGTTGGTAATCCACAGATTGATGGTCAAGATCCACTGTCTCAGCTGTACCACGATCCACAGAGTGAGAAGCTTTTCTCTCGAGAATCACTGCACAATCACCTGAACTTTGAAGCATTTCAAATTGATGCACTTCTTGTGGAAGGTTGCAACCTTCAGAATAAATACTTTTAGCTGTATTCTGGTCCATAGAGAGAGAATCTTCTCTCTCTAGGATCCCTGCACAATCGCCTGAAGCTTCTCTCTCGAGAATCATTGCACAATCACCTGAACTTTGAAGCATTTCATACTGATGAGAAGCTTCTCTCTCGAGAATCACTGCACAATCACCTGAACTTTTAAGCATTTCAAATTGATGCTCTTCTTGTGGAAGGTTGCAGCCTTCAGAATAAATACTTTTAGTTGTACTCTGGTCCATAGAGAGAGAATCTTCTCTCTCTAGGATCCCTGCACAAACACCTGAACTTTGAAGAATATGACATTTGTGCTCTTCTTGAGGAAGATAGCATCTTTCAGAACCACTTGTCTCAGTTAAACCCTGAACAATAGAGACAGAAGCCTCTCTCTCGAGAAAAACTGCACAATCCACTGTCCTTTGAAGCACTTCACTTTGATGCTCTTTTTGGGGAAGGTTGAAACTTTCAGAAGAATCAGTTTCAGTAACCCCATTCATTTGGAGAGAAGACCCTCTCTCTAAAATCCGTGCACAATCACCTGAACTGTAAAGCATTTCACATTCATACTCTTCTTGGGAGAGACCGCAACTTTCAGAACCAGCTGTCTTGGTTGTATCCGCATCCAAAGCGAGAGAATCTTCTTGCTCTAGAATAATTGCACAATCACCTGACCTCTGAAGAACTTCACATGGATGCTCTTCTTGGGAGAGACTGCAGTTAAGCGAACTCACTGCCACAGCTGTACTCCGGTCAATAGAGGGAGAAGCTTCTCTCTCTAGAATCATGACACAATCACCTGAACTTTGAAGCGCTTCGGATTGAATTTCTTCTTCAAAATTGATACACTCAGAACAGTCGAATGAACTAGCTCCACTGGCAATTTGGGGAGCAAGTTCAGGAGCCTCCCCAACTTCACAAGGAATTTTTGAAACCAAACAATCAATAGAAATGTTTGTGCCCATACCAGGCTCTCCACCCAATGAATCTCCTATGTTAGTTCTCACTGTATAATCACCTAAACTTTGAAGCACTTCGGATTGACTCTCTTCTTCAAAATTGATACGCTCAAAACAGTGTAATGAACTAGCTCCACTGGCGATTTGGGGAGCAAGTTCAGGAGCCTCCCCAGCTTCACCGGGAATTTTTGAAACCAAACAATCAATAGAAATGTTTGTGCCCATACCACGCTCTCCACCCAATGAATCTCCTATGTTAGTTCTCACTGCATAATCACCTAAACTTTGAAGCACTTCGGATTGACTTTCTTCTTCAGAATTGATACGCTCAAAATAGTGGAATGAACTAGCTCCACTGGTGATTTGGGGAGCAAGTTCAGGAACTTCTCCAGCTTCACTGGGAAGTTTTGAAGTCAAACAATCAATAGCAATGTTTGTGCCCATGCTGGGCTCTCCACCCAATGAATCTACTATATTTGTTCCCATAGCAACTTCCGGTGGTTGATCAGAAAAACCCAAAGAGACAGAACAATCAGAAGTAAAATTGTCATCTCTAACCCTTATCACTTCATTTTCGTCAAATGATGGGAATTCTTTTTTTATTTGTGCTTTCATGGGATAATCTGAATAAGAAATACAGCTGTCATTTATACCATTCATCATTTCATCTTTGTTGGGTGAGGGGCATTCTCTTTTAATTTGCACTTTCATGGAGTAATTTGAATCAGTTGGTGCCGAGCTCATTTTCGCCTTAAACTTCTTGGACACCTTTGCTGTCCAACTGCCAAGAGTTTCTAAATCTGAATCATCTTCATGTGACTCAATAAAAGCACAGTTCCTCTTCTTAGGGGGGTCTTCAAGATGAGAATAATCCTGAAAATTAGTACTGACATTCATAACATCAATGTTGTCATTGTTCTGATCTGAACGCAGAGAACTTTTAGAACATGAAGGGGGCCCAATTTTCCTCAGCTTAGCTTTGCACATTTTTTGTAGTTCTCTCAACGTCAACCCATTAGAAATATCATCATCACTGTAATAATCATCACATGCATGATGTATATTATCTATTTTATGATCAACATTAAGAGGAGAATGCTTTAACTCACTGGTATCATAGCCATGTGTGATCCCATCACAACTACGTGATTGAGAGACATTGGTTTCCCTTAAATTTCTACTCGGTGGGAAGTTTAAGCAATCTCTTTTGATACTAGAATCTCCATTGCGATAAATTGCAGCAACTTCCCTGAACTTAAACGGCGGTTTTCCATAAGGACCGGTGTTGATAACTTTAACCACCTCTCCCCTTGTAATGGTTTGAATAAAATGCACGGGATTATAGTGAGCCAGCTCAGCAGAACTGCCAGTGCTGGTTACACCGCTTTTTGATTTTTTCTGCTGCCACATCATACCCTACAAATTTAAAAAAAAACTCACATTTCATTTCTCATGAATCACACGGATTTCCTGTTTAACATGTACCTTCATGCTTCTCTCTTTTTTTCCATTCATTTCAAACACCTAAGCCTCAAATTAAGAACAAAAAAAAAAGCAAAAAAACCCTGTTCTTAGGCTACCTGAATGCTATTCAGCTAATGTCAGCTCAAGAGCAGACGTTACGTAGAGTAAACAACAAAATAAAGAAGTAATAATGAGCTGAATAAGTTTTAACATAGTATGTTGTGTACACGATTCATACAAAAATTACATGAACTGAATAAATGATCTTCATACACAAATTGCTGTAGTAAAAGATATAAACTTTTAGTGACAAATAGACTTGTTAAAATTGTGAGCGCAAGGGCTGACCGTTTTAGCCCCCTGAAATCACTGTTCTTTTGGGTCAATCTCCAGTTTATAAATCAATAAATAAATTTTGTTTGCAAACTTGCTTGCTATTAAAAGCTGTTTTGAACAGATACCAAACCACTAAACTTGAGCTAATCTAGCAATTTAAACCAATTGACACTAACTGGCAGGTCAATCGGATGTTAAGTAACACATGGTTCAAACAATAAAACAGGCACTATACTATGTGTATCTCTGATTCCTATGTAGATGAGAAAGCAAAAATAAATGGATCAAGATCAAACAAAGAAAAACGAGATATAGTAAGATAGATGCAAGGATTTTACAAATTGTGCTCAAAATCCTAAACCTAGTGGTGAGAATCACTGCCTCAAATGGCCCATCATCCAACACACACACACACACACACACACACACACACACACACACACACACACACACACACACACACACACACACACAGTTAATACAGGGCATAGCCCAACCTCCACAATTTACCAGATCAAAGCCCCCAGCAAAACCATGAATAGAATCCACAGACTGAATTGCTAAACGTCCATGATATAACAGATCTAAACCCATGGTAAAACAAAACAAAAAATACATGCACTAAATTGACAAATCAAATAAATCAATCAGATTTGGACCCTTTTAAAGTGAAGATTAAATAAGATTAACCAACTTTGATCCAGCAAGCAACAAAAACCCACAACAAGCAGATCTTAAGCCTTTTTTTTTTTTTCTTATCAGCAAACCCTTTTAGACCCGAAATAGAAACCACACTAAAGCTATGTAACCAAGTATCTACAAAACTTAAAAAAAATCACGTTCCATAGCCAAAAATACCTGCAATTTTAACACTGACAAAAACCACAAATGATGCAAAAAAAAATCACATAGGCAGGAAGATAACCCAGAAAAGCAAAGGGGAAAAGAAAATGCATTTCCATGAAAATGGAGCTAATAGAGTATTAAAAGGAACCCAAATAATTTTAGCAAAAATATCAATTAAAAAGATAATTAAAACTTTCTCATGAGAGATGGTTACCTGGTAAGGAAAACCCCTCGTTTGCAAGAGAGTGAGAAATGAAAAGCCCTAATTTGGGGAGAGAGAGAGAGAGAGATGAAGCCCTAAATTGCTTTTCAGCACTGTGACGAATGGGTATACAGAGTGTTTCAAAAACCCTAGGAGGTGGGTGGGGCTCGACAAAGGGAAAACTCCCGCGTAAATATTGGCGGGAAATGACGGCACTATATAAATGACTAAAATGCCCCACGTTGTGTTCTTGGAGACGATAGGAAACTCCACAGGTTTGTAAAAGGCCGAGGTCCTAAACAATCAAAGTAAGACATACTTTTAAATATGGTTAAAGGATTATTTTTTAGTCGTAAAAATCTTTGTGATGGTCTAAAATTTTATTTTTATCTCTAATTACAAATTTTAAAATTTTAAAAATATTATAGATCTAGCAAATGTTAAACATTTGAAATTATTGAAAATTGACGGCCCAGATAAATGCATTACAATATGCACTATTTTTCAAACTTGAAATCCATTTTTTCCATGTCTATACATATCGAGGTTGATCAAGATGATCGATTTGAGGGTTGTTTGACATTAAAATGACCTCTTCTAGTAAACTTTTGAGGTGCCCCTTGATTTCATTATTTAGGCATCAACCTTAAATAAACTTTTTTCCAATAAAATTAAGAAAAAGTTTATATGAGTATCAGGCTTTAAACAATTAAAGTAAGACACACCTCAAAAATGTCACTTGAAGACTTTTTTTTTATGCTAAAAGTTCCTCGAATTGATTATCTCGACCTCAAGATGCATGTACGTGATAAAAAAATGGATTTCAAGTTTTGGAAATAGTGTATCTTGTAGTGTATTTTTTTACCGTCAATATTCAAGATTTTCAAATTTTCATAGATTTTATCGTTCTACGCTATTTTTGAAGGTTTAAATTTTATAATTAGAAATGAAAACAAAGTTTAAGGCTATCAGAAAGATTTACAGTATTGAAACCACATTTCTTGACATTATTTAAAGGTGGGCTTTACTTTGATTGTTTAGAGCCTCATCCCTATACAAACTGCGCCCATAAAACAAAGGAAATAAATTGTATAATCTTACAACTTTGTACTATTGGAGTAGGGTGTACTTTAAAAAGAAAAAAGTTTATATAGAGTCAAGGCTCTAACGATCAAATTAGAGCCCACATAAAAAAATATCACTAGAAGAAATTGTTTAAATACGCAAATATCCTCAAATTGATCATCTTGACATCAAGATGCATGGACACGAGAAAAAAATAAATTTCAAGTTTTAGAAATAATATATCTTGTAATGTATTTTTTTATTGTCAATTTTCAATCAAGATGCATGGACACGAGAAAAAAATAAATTTCAAGTTTTGGAAATAATATATCTTGTAATGCACTTTTTTATTGTCAATTTTCAAGTTTTCATAGATTTGTGGGATCTACATTATTTTTTAAGGTTTAAATTTTATAATTTAAGATGGAAATAGATTTTAAGGCTATCACAAGGATTTTCAATATTGAAACCACATTTCTTAACACTATTTAAAGGTGCACTTTACTTTTATTGTTTAGAGCCTCGGCTTTATACAAACCGCACCTTTTTAGAAATCCTCTAGAAGAAAAGTGATCCAACATGGATAACCGTACAATTAATCATCTTGACTTCTAGATGTATAAGCATAAAGAAAAAATAATTACAAGTCCTAAAAATAGTGCATTTTGCAACAAGTTATTTGTACCGTCTAGTTTCAAGGTTTTCGAAATTTGATAGATTTGTGCCATTTTTAGAATATTAAATTTCACTATTATGAAGAAAAATAGATTTCACAGCCATCATAATATTTCCAACACCAAAATTACATTTCTAAAGTTAGAAATGCATCTTATTTGTAGAGTTTAAAGAAGGCACCTTATACAAACCTTACCTTAAAATTAAATGGACAACGTACTATACATCCCCATTCATATATAGTTTACCTACATCTTTTATCTTCTAGCTGTCTGATCTAAATGGGTGGCTGAGATGGCCGTAATCAAAATATCATGCATAAATATTGCTTTATTTTCAATTTATTTTCTAGAAATGATATTGGCACCAAACTTGAGGAGCCCAATCCTCTCTTAAGCTTGCACCAAAGGAAGACAAAAAAAAAAAAGTTCCAGGTAAAATAAAATGACTAGATTGCTTTAGTTTTAGGAGTATTTTGATCATTTTATTTATTTTAAAAATTTTAATATTTTATTAAGTTTGCTAAGATGTTGTCAAGCACCGAAACCGTATTCATATGTTTTAAAGAAATAAAATAAAATTTAAATACTATGAGACGTTAAATCTATAGACCAAATGGCCAGTGACTCACTTATGACATTATGGCTGAGATTATCTAGCCATCCATTCAGATCCGACGGCTGGGAGATGAAGAAAATAAAATATATGTGGGTGGAAATGTATAGTAAGCATTCTCAAAATTAAATGGTAGTTGGGAAAATATAAGGGTATAGATTTGTGCACTTTACCATTGCCTTATCGAAATTGAGCAAACCTACCCAATGGCTTTTTATCGAAACATTCACATCGTTTCATATCCTATGTATTTTAGCGATGATCTCAAAGCAAACTAAATAAGCAACATAAGAGAAACAAAAGTAATTTTGGGCACATCAAAATAGACGATTAACATCAACCTGGTTTTCTCTCTCCTTCGAAAACCACATCTTAAGATATTTCATTTTTTTAATGAAAAACTTATTAAAATGCATCTAAGAGATTAGTTATTAAACATTGTACCTATTATAATCTAATTGCAAAATATCATCAAAATACATAAGACTTGGAATAGTTGTAAAAGGGTAAAGTGTTAAATTGTTATTAGTTAGGTGTATTTTGATAATTTTTCTATTTTTATTGACCTCTCCATATGTTGTACAAAAGTAAAATGGTATGATAGGGCAGCAGCACTATTAAAATAAGTAAAGCTTCACCTCATAAAAACTTTTACATCAATCATCTTGGCTTGAACATTATGGTTGTAAAGAAAAATTAGCATTTCAAGCTCTAAAAATGGCATATAATGTAATAAATTATCTAGACCATCTATTTTTTGAGTTCCAAAATTTATTGTCGGTGTTGAAAATTAATTTCAGAGCTGTCATAGAGATTTCTATTATAGAAATTGCCTTCCGGACGGGGATTTGAGATGAGGTTTTATTTTGTTTTAATAAAGCCTAGGCTTTATAGAAACTTCATCCTAAACAAATGTCCCGATGATCATCTTTTTAGGGTGTATGTTTTATAGAGCATTAGCCCAGTGGCCAGTGAGAAGATTTTCCCTCCCTCTACAACTCTACCTGTGCTTGTAGTATTGTAGATAGAGAAATGAGCACCCAACTAGTGTTAGTAGTCTTGTAGATTGAGAAATGAGCACTTAAATTACCATGCACTAAGGGAAAAACATAGAGTAAATGCTACTTTGGATGTACCAAGACTACCCCATGGAAATAATTGTGAGACATGCAAAGAAGAGCCCAAAAACCTCAACTATTTAACTTCAAATACCCAACCAATGATGGCCATATTGGTCCTCGTGTAGCTAACCAGGAACTGAACCACAGGTCCAAATGGTGGTGCAAATGTTGCTAGAAATTAGATAATATCGAGACCTAGCTGTAGAGCCACCATCTAGGCTCTTGTGTTGTGCTTGCTTTGTTCACCCACTAATTGTTATCTAGTGGCGTATTTTAAGGGGTGGCGATAGGGGCAGGTCGATCCAAACTGGGTTTGGGTTAGTGTTTTTGGACCTGACACTGGGTCCAAATGACCTAGACCCGACATGGGTCGAGGTCCGGCATGGATCCTATGTGTCGGATCTGAGTCGCCCCGACCTTCCCCGAATAAAATATGTAAAATATAAATTTATATGGACTAAATAAATTTGATTCATTCAATAATTACTAAATTTTTTGTTCATTATATAATTACTAATTTTTTATGTTGAGAGCAACCATAAAGAGATTGATTTAGAAATAGGCCCAAGGTTAAGTGGTCAGGGTACAGGGCACAATATTTGTTTTGAGTTCCATTTTTATCATAGGACATGGTACTCCTCCATTGAACTAGCAAAAAATTCATTGAATAATAATAAAAAAAGAACAACCATTGGAAGATTGATATGGAAATCATTTGTCTGCAGAAAGACTAGGATTTAGGTTGCATATGAGGAGGTGCAAGTTACAATGCATCCATCCTTAAAAATCAATCTTCATATAGATTTGAATTTAAAATTTAACCGTGTTATACGTCTTTTTTGACGTAATTGTCTCCCCGAGGAGAATAAAGAGAGAGCCGGTAGTAACCTAGTCTTGTCGATGCCCAAGACGCCGCTAGACAATGGGAACACTGTAGCAATAAGCCTAATATTAGACGACATTTGAAGAAATGTCAGAATGACCTCAATTTTCATGAGATGATAGTTTTAGATACCCTAAGGACACTCGTAAATTTTAGTCACGTTCTGACAAGTTTTGATATGATTAGGACGAAACTTGATTTTCAAATCCAATTCATTTCATGCTAAAAATTGTCCCTATAACTATAACACTATTTTATGGGTCTCAAAACTATAGCAAACCACAACCATTAGATCCGAAATATCGAAAAACGCCCAAATACCAAATTTTGGCTCAATCGGATCCTTCGGGACCATTTTGCGCCTAACTTACCATGAACTTGTGGGTTTTACACTATTGCGGTGCAACCTCGATGAATCAGTAAATAAAATTTGTGTTTTCTCATATTGGGATGGTTTTCAAATACTCATAACTTGTTCTTTTTTAGTCTAATTAAGCTCAAATTCGAACACGAGCTAGATCTCGACGATATGCTTGTTTTGACATATAGCACATACCATGTGTGGCTTGAAATGAAAGAATTTTTAGAGAGAATATGTGCTCAAAACATGAAAATTCAGATTTTATAAATAATAAATATCCAATTTTTTGAAAGGCCATAGCTAAAGATTCCGATGTCGGATTGTCACAAGTATTGGTTCGTTGCGACCGTGCTTTGAAGACCTACAATTTGATATAATTTTTGTATACGATCGGAGGTCGGATGATATGAATTTGAGCTC